TGGGCTCACACCTATAATCCCAGTACTTTGGGGTCTGAGGTGGGCGGATCATGAGGTCAAGAGTTCGAGACCATCCCAGTCAACATGGTGAAACCCCATGTTTACTAAAAATACAAAAATTAGCTGGGTGTAGTGGTGCGCACCTGTAGTCCCAGCTACTCAGGAGGCTGATGCAGGAGAATCACTTGAACCTGGGAGGCGGAGGTTGCAGTGAGCTGAGATTGTGTCACTGCATTCCAGCCTGGCTACAGAGCGAGGCTCCCACCTTCCTCTTGCTGGGCACCAGGGGCCTGGCTGCCCTGCCTTGAAGTTCAAAAAAAAAAAAGTATGTTCTGTTCTGTAGTGCAGGCTGGGCGGAGAAGGGCATCATGCCAGAAAACCCAGCTTCTCACCCTGGGATCCCCAGGCAACTTCCTCTCTGTGGGTGGGGCTGGGCGGGCAACAGGCCATGAGCCCTCAAAACCTTGAGGAAGAAAGCAGACAGCACTCTCTAGATAGGGTCCAGTGGAGGACCCGGGAGGTGTCCTGATGGCAGGGCTGTGCCTACAGCAGCACCTGAAGGACCAGCCAGGAAAGACACCCTGGCCTCTGCTTCCTGGGCAAGGGGATGACATGAGATGGCAGATCCACAAATATGTCCTTCTGAAAGGCACTTCCCAGAAACCCCTTCCCTGGGTAACATGCCTTCCAGCACTCCCCACTCCTCCCTGCCCCCAGGTGAGAACACTGCCCAGTCGGATTCTACTCTACTCTAGGAAAGGGTGGGGCCCCAACAACAATATAAGCTAGATGCTATTTTTATCCCAGCTTTGCAGACTGGGAAACTAAGGCTGGCAGAGGTGAGGCTAGTTGTCTAAGATCCCACAGAGAAGAATACAGCCCATTAGATAGCATTTGGCCTGCAGCCACTCCACATGAAGATGTGGAGCCCCACCTCACACACACTTGGAGCCTGGAGGTAGAGCAGGCATGGGTAGAGGACCTCAAGGCAGGGCGGCCAGACCCTTGGTGCCCAGCAGGAGGAAGGTGGGATATGATCAGACTTAGGTTCCTCTCTTTAACCGCATTCAAACCACATCCAGCCCAGAGGGAACTGACCCCAGCTCTTCACCTTCCCTGTCCTCCCAGAAGTGGCCTTGGTCCAGGAAAGAGGTAACTCCTCCTCCCTCGCTGACAATATCCAAAACCTGCTCTATACCTCCAGTTCCCAACCTAGAGCGGCTCTCCAGGAATAGCACCAGCACCTGAGTCTCAGGTATCAACTTGCCAACAGAGATGCCAAAGCCTGGACACAGCCTGCACTGCCTGTTCCCCACCAGGGCCCAGGGGTTAAATACCACACCCCTGCTTCCAGCCCCACATTCTGCCTCTACAGACTGCACTTTCAGCAGGCTAAAGAGCTGGAGACTGGGACTCATGGCGACAGATCTCAAGCTTGGGTTCTGGGGCCCTCCTTCCCCTCAGCAGTGCCCTGTACCCCAGATCCCACATGGAGGCAGACCCCTGAACCCTGGCCTCCCCCACCTGCCCCTCCTCTCAGATACAGCCAGACATCCCTGCACCCGGGATCCACCCATGACTCTCCCGCCCTTCCTTACTAGGCCCCCACCTGCTTATGAGGTGAGAAATTCCCCACCTGCTGCCCTCCACCCGTGCCTCCCTGGCCACCTACCTGCTTCCAGAGGAAGGCATCACTACGGTTGAGTTGCCAGGCCAAGATCAAATGCAGGGTGGAGAGGCCCAGGCCGCTGAGGACAGCAGCCCGCATGCGGATGGGGAGGAGCGTGTAGGCGATGTAGACGAAGAACACGGGGCACCAGAGGCCTGCAGAGGGGCTGTGCGGGTCGGCTGCGAGGGCGCCCCCCACCTGCACTGCCGCCAGGATGCCCAGCACCACATAGCTCACCACCCACATGGAGTCCTGGCGGAAGCTATGCCGGTTACACACCACCATGAGCGCCACAAACAGGGCGGCGGCGCAGGCCAGCAGGGCCACATAGGCAGGCTGAGGGCGGGCAGGCGCGGCGTGGAAGGCCAGCAGCACCGCGGTGAGCAGCACCAGCACTGCCATCAGCAGCGTCAGGCTGCTCTGGTTCATCTGGAAGAAGTACCGCTGGTACAGGCGCTCCAGCTTGGCTGAACGGAACTGCTTCGACTGGAACACCTGCACTAGACGCCCCCAGCAGGATCGCCGGCTCCTGGGCACAGCGTCGGGCGCCACCTCAGCTGTCCCGCCCGCTGCCGGGGTCACCTCGGTGTCCTCGAAGCCCAGGGCCACTGCCCGCAGCCCCAGCTCCATACCCTTGCCTGGGCCGCCCCTCCGGATGAAGGCGTCATCCTGCCAGGGGCACCGAGAGGGGCCCGCAGGGGTAGGGCTGGGTGGCTCTGCATCCCGGAGGCAGCTCATATAGCGGGGCGTGCAGAAGCCACCCGCCCGAGCGCCGCGGCGCCGTGAACGCTTCTGCCCGTTGCGTTCACCCCAGGCTGTTTTCCGTTCATCCACTTTAGGAACCAGGAGGCCACTAAACCATGACATGTTGCTGGTAGAGAAGGAAGGAGATGATATTAGAGACCATCCAATAGGAACGGTATTAATACCACCATCACAGCCATTGCCAGGACTAGCAGCTCATTACCTGAGCACTTCCCACTGCCAAGCCATGAGCTTCATCCTCATACAATTACTTGGACGTAGGCAAGGGTATCCCCATTCAACAGGTGAGAAACGAAGACACAGTGAGGCAAAGAAACTTGCCCAGGGCCAGGCACAGTGGCTCACACACCTACAATCCCAGCACTTTGGGAGGCTGAGATAGGAGGATGGCTTAAGGCCAGAAATGTGAGACCAACCTGGGCAATATAGCAAGACCTTGTCTCTATTAAAATTTTGTTTTTTTTTTTTTTTTTTGAGACAGAGTTTCACTCTTGTTACCCAGGCTGGAGTGCAATGGCGCGATCTCGGCTCACCACAACCTCCGCCTCCTGGGTTCAGGCAATTCTCCTGCCTCAGCCTCCTGAGTAGCTGGGATTACAGGCACGTGCCACCATGCCCAGCTAATTTTTTTTGTATTTTTAGTAGAGACGGGGTTTCGCCATGTTGACCAGGATGGTCTCGATCTCTTGACCTCGTGATCCACCCGCCTCGGCCTCCCAAAGTGCTGGGATTACAGGCTTGAGCCACCGTGCCCGGCCTCTATTAAAATTTTTAAAAATTAGCCTGGGCCGGGCACTGTGGATGGTGGCTCATGCCTGTAATCCCAGCACTTTGGGAGGCCCAGGTGGGTGAATCACAAGGTTAGGAGTTCAAGACCAGCCTGGCAAAGTTGGTGAAACCCCATCTCTACTAAAAATACAAAAATTAGCCGTGTGTGGTGGCTCATGCCTGTAATCCCAGCACTTTGGGAGGCCAAGGTGGGTGGATTGCCCGGACTCAGGAGTTTGAGATCAGCCTGGGCAACATGGTGAAACCCCATCTCTACTAAAATACGAAAAAAAATTAGCCAGGCATGGTGGTGTGGGTCTGTAATTCCAGCTACTCAGGAGGCTGAGACAGGAGAATCACTTGAACCTAGGAGGCGGAGGGTACAGTGAGCCAAGATGATATTACTGCACTCCATCTTAGGCGACAGAGCTAGACTCCATCTCAAAAAAAAATTAGTCCAGCACAGTTGCAAACACCCATAATCCCAGCTACTCAGGAGGCTGAGGCAGGGGAATCACTTAAACTCAGGCTGCAGAGGTTGCAGTGAGCCAAGATCATGCCACTGCACTCCAGCCTAAGTGACAGAGTGAGACTCCATCTCAAAAAATAAAATTGGCCTGGTGTGGAGTTTGAGACCAGCCTGGGTAACAAGGTGAAACCCCATCTCTACTGGCATGCACCTATAGACCTGGCCATTCAGGAAGCTAAGGTGGAAGGATTGCTCGGGCCCAGGCACTGGGGACTGCAGTGAGCCAGGATTGTACGCCACTGCACCCTAGCCTGGGCAACAGCCACAGCCTGAAAAAAAAAAAAGGAAGGAAAGAAGGAAGGGAGGGAGGAGTCAAGGGAATGGAAGAAAGAAGATGAAAAAGAGGGAGGGGGAGGGGGGGGGAGGAGGAGGGGGGGGGGGGGGGGGGGGGGGGGGGGGGGGGGGGGGGGGGGAGGGGAGACTGCCCAAAGATCTAGCAGCCACATAAGTGAGAGAACCAAGATTCTAAACCAGATTTGTCTGACCCCAAAGCCAATATACTTGAAAATTTCCCTAAAAAGCACTGATTTGTTGGTGGTCACGAACTCAAGTGTCCAAGTCAATGAGTGAAGCAGCTTATGGTTCAGAACTAGGAGGAAGAGTTCATACCCTGTGCATGGAGCAAGCATCACCCTGCAGTAGACTGTTGCCACTGGGTCCCAGTGGGGCCCGATCCAATTTTTCTCAACAGAAGCTGAAGAAAAAAATCTGGATTTTAGGCTGGGCATGGTGGCTCACACCTGTAATCCCAGCACTTTGGGAGGCTGAGGCAGGGGGATCACCTGAGGTTAGGAGTTCAAGACTAGCCTGGCCAACATGGTAAAACCCCATCTCTACTAAAAATACAAAAATTAGCCAGGCATGGTGGTGGGCGTCTGTACTCCCAGCTACTTGGGAGGCTGAGGCAGAATTTCTTGAACCTGGGAGGTGGAGGTTGCAGTGAGCTGAGATCAAGCCACTGCACCCCAGCCTGGGCAACAGAGTGAGACTCCGTCTTAAGAAAAAGAAAAATCTGGATTTTAATGCGACATCTCCTGATTTATAAATGTTGGCAACTAATTCACATTTTTCAGTACCGCCAAGCCAAAATAAATCACGTCTGTGGAATGAGTTCTGCCCATGAACTGCCCATCAGTGACCTCTGTGCAAAAGGGAATCTTTCTACATCCTCCCTCATCACACTCACACACAATGCACACTTCACCAAGCTAAATTCAACTTCCCTCAGGTCACAGCTTAAATTCAACTTCCTCAGGGACACTTCCCAGCTCCCCCACCCAGACGAGATTTGGTCCCATTTACCCTCTGTTCATTTTTTCCATAGTACTTACTGTAATTATAATTAAATCATTCCTTATTTAATATGCATCTCTGCCCTTCTCACTCTAAGTTTGAGAGGGTAGGGATTACATCTATTTTGTTCCACACTTTATCCCCAGTGCTAAGTACTGGGCCTGGCTCAAAGTAGAGACGCAATAAATATATTAATATGTTGAAAAGACAGAATGAAAGGAAGCTCAAGGGCAATGGAATGGAGCAGCTAACAAAGCAGCTAACAGTAATGATCCTAAGGTTCTTCAGCTTCCTTGCTGCACCCATCATAAGAACCTCTGCTGTTTCCCAGCACACTCTGCACAGGCCAGCCTGGGACCTCAGTGTCTGCTGTTCCTGATGTCTGGAATTAGAGCTCCTCCAGGTCACATCCCAAATGTCCCCTTATCAGTGAGGCTTTCCCTGACTACCCTATTAAAATAGCAGCTCCCTTTCCTGGAGCTCTCTATCTCTCTCCCCAGCTCTATGCTTTTTCTCCATAGCTCTAATCAGCAACTGCCATTCTATATATTTTTCTTATGTGTTCATTGTCTGTCTCTCCTGATGGGAATGGCAGCTCTATGAAAGCAAGGATTTTGACCTGTTGTACACACTGCTGTATCCACAACCCTTAGCAGGACCTAAATTAAGTGTTCATTGAAGTTGGGCATGGTGGCTCATGCCTGTAATCCCAGCACTTTGGGAGGCAGAGGTGAGCAGATCACCTGAGGCCAGAAGTTCGAGACCAGCCTGACCAACATGGAGAAACCCTGTCTCTACTAAAAATACAAAATTAGCCAGGCGTCGTGGTACATGCCTGTAATCCCAGCTACTCGGGAGACTGAGGCGAGAGAACTGCTTGAATCCGATTGCAGTGAGCCAAGATCACACCGCTGCATTCCAGCCTGGGCAATAAGAGCAAAACACCATCTCAAAAAATAATAATAAAAAATGTTCATTGAGTAGATGAATGACTGGATGGATGAATGAATGCTACTCCATGCACTTCTCTGTGCTTTAAACTGTTCAAGATCTTTTCACGTCCCCAATTCCATCTGATCTTCACCAAAACCTCTGAGAAACTGGTCCTGTGGCCCCCTGGGGCGCAAAACTGAAAGGAAAAATATATATGAACAAAAACTGAGGTCCATCGCAGTTTTAGATGGCTGGCCCAAGTTATAGAGATCATGGTAACCAAATCAGTCCCAGATCCCATATTTCCTGGAGGAAATGTCATTACTGAGGTGGGAAGACTCCATGTTGATACTTTTAATGCGACTCCTGGCTGAGCCCAGGTCAGAATATGAGGCTGAAAGCACCGTCATCCACGCATGCCTGTGTCTGCTTCAGGGCCGCACTCCTCCATGCTCACAGAGCACCTGAGGGGCGCCTTGTACTTGAACCTGCTGAGCTAGCAGCACTGACATTTGTACTCACTAGGGGATAGGATGGGGGAGCATCTAGCACTTGCCCCAGGTGGCCACAGAATGAGAGCTCAAGCCAGATGAGTGGCACTCGAAGCAGACACCCAGAGACCCACAAGCAGAAGGCAGGCTAGGGAATTCTCTGCATACCCCAAAACCCCCATCTCTGAGTCACCCTCAGCCAAGTTCTGTCAGCATCCCTTCTCCTATATTCCACAGAGCAGCATGTCCTTCAACCTTTTTTTTTTTTTTTTGAGATGGAGTTTCACTCTGCCCCACCCAGGCTGGAGTACAGTGGCACGATCTCAGCTCACTGCAACCTCAGCCTCCTGGGTTCAAGCAACTCACCTTCCTCCTGCCTCTGCCTCCCGAGTAGCTGGGATTACAGGCATGTACCACCACACCCAGCTAATTTTTGTATTTTTAATAGAGACAGAGTTTCACCATTTTGGCCACGCTAGTCTCCAACTCCTGACCTCAGGTAATCCACCCACCTTGGCCTCCCAAAGTGCTGGGATTACAGGCATAAGCCCCCTCTTGCGGCCCCTTCAACATCTTAATATCACCAACAGCACCATCTGGAAGGACAGATCAGGAATACAAGACTTTTGGTCAGGCTGGCATTTGGAAAAGGTCACCAAAGAAAGCCTGGCTCTTCAAAATACTTCATTAGAAGCATGATCTTTGGCATGAGACCAGGTTCCAAACCTTAGCGTAATTATTTGCTAGCCGCACTGCCTTGGGCAAGTTATTTAACCTCTCCGTGTCAGTGTCTTCATCTGTAAAATGGAAATAATAATGGTCTCAAGAAAGAAGCTAATAATGCCTGTCATGAAGTACACACCTGAAAAATATTAGTTCTTTTCCTCACTCTACAACAATTTAAGCCCAAACCTCTGTCATCATCAAGAGATGGAAAGATGAGAAAATCATGCGCAAGAACACGTGTCTTTCCAGCCAGACAGATACCTGGTTCTATCAGTCCCTGTGTCCTTGGCTGTCAGTCCCCAGAGCTGTTGGAGACAGAGCCCAGAGTAAGCTGGTTTCCCACCACCATCTACCACCCACAACATTTTGCTTCAGCCTCCTCCCATTCACCAGTCCCCTTCCCCGTTCTTATCTCCCTCCGCACCCTGCCCCCACCACTGGCCCAGACCCGTTCCCAAAGGACTAGTTTCTGGCCATGTTCCCAGCCCCCTGGAAACACATCCTAGCATCTGGCTCATACCCACAGAGAAAGGGGCAGACACTATCCAGGAGAACGAATGACCCTCCCAGGAACACTCTGAGCCCCCAAGGGGATAGCTTCAGAGCTGTGTGATTGTCCAATCAACTGCAGCCATCCCACCCTGGGCTCCACTCCAGGTACTGCCCATCCTGGAGAACTTGCCGGCCTCCCAACACTTCTGGCACCCCATGCCAGACTGGTATGGCAGGGAACAGGGGAGGGCACAGTTCCAAGCCACAAAACTTCTCTATATGGTCCCCCCAACCCACTCTGTCCAGCAACCCATCACTATGAGCCCTGGGAGCACAGACCACCTCTCTCCTCCCCAGAGTCAGGCTCCCAAGCCTTGCGCCTCTGACCTCCTCCTCCCCTGAGCGTTGGTCCCTTTGCTCTCTCACAGATCTGCCGCTCCCCACACCACCCGCTCCCACAGCTGAAGCCATGTCCCATTCAGCCTGGCAGGCTCAGGCTCAGTGCCTCCCAGACCTCAAGTCCCTCCCAAACCCTGATCAGCCTGAGACCAGAGTCTGGAGCCAGCCAAGGCCAAGGCCCAGTCCTAAGGATGGCTCTGCCCACTGCCTCACCAAGCCTTCCTGGCCACCTCCTGTCTATCCCATCCCCAGGGCCCATCTGACCCTACCCTCCTTGGCAAAAGGAGGCTCCAGGGGATTTAAAACGACTTCAGAAAGTTCATGGCAAGAGGCACTGCCCAGGCAGGGCCCAGCAGTGCCAGCACCTCCCACCAAACTGGGACGTGGGCCTCAATTCTTCAATTCTGGGCCTTTCCAGATGTAAAGGAGCTTCCCAGGCCCTGTATTTGTCCAGTGCCCGCTGCCATCTTCCTCCTTCCGTGTCCTCGTCCTCGCTCTCCCTAAAGACTGCAGAGGGCTCCCACATCACCCCTTACCATGCAACACCCACCAGGTCCCTCCAGCTCACAAGGGTAGTCTGGTAAGGGGAGGATATGGGCAAAGAGGCTCCCACGCCTGATTCCACCTCTAGCCTTTCAGTCGAGCCCCAGAGCCTGCTCTGAATAAAGTCAGCTCCCCTGCCCACCCTACAACAGGCCTTGGAGGGTATGGGGAGCCGACCCCACCCCTTTCATTCCCACGGTTTGCGGTGAGGGGAGGGAGAGGGACTCCCGCAGACAGAGGGCATCCCTCCCTCTGCCCAGACCGGTTCCTCTCCCCAAAATGGAATCACATTCTCCCACAAACTCAGAGACTAGCCCCACAGCAAAAACCTCAGGCCAGCCCCTCCCCCAGTCCTTGCCAGGTCCCCCTCCTCCGGGCAAGCCTGGAACTCGCCCCGTGGAGGGAGGGAGGAAGGCATGAGGCAGGCGGCGGGCGACGCGGGTAGTGAGCCCCGGACCTAGGAGTCCTCGATCCCAGCGCCTCCGCGACTTCCCTCTGCCAACCCCAACTGCCTCGGGCAACCCGCCAAACACTGCCCAGACGACCCGTCCCAGGCTTCGGAGCCCCCACCCACAAACTCTCGTCGGGAGCCGCGCGGGTGCGTTCCAGCCCCGGCGCCCCGGGAGCCCGGGCGGCACTTCCCAGCCCTCGGCGCGCTCACCTGCCGGCCCGACTCCGCGCCGGCCCTGGGCCCCCGCCCCGCCGCCGCCCCCGCGGGCTCCGGCCGGCCGGCCGGCCGTCCCGCGGTCCTTCTCCGAGCCCGCGCGTCCCGGCCGTCCCGCCCGCCGTCTGCCGTCCGCCCGGCCCTCGCCCCCTCCCGAGCTGTCCAGCGCAGCCGCCCTCTACCCCGGATCCAGAAGTCCCCTCCCCGCCGGCTCCCGGACTCCCCGCCTTAAAGGCACAAGCTCCTTTTGTCTGGGCACCCCCCGCGTCCTCCCCAGAAGCGGGGGCCGAGTCGCCCACTCCCCTTCCGAGGAGCAGCGGAGGAGCAGAGGAGGCCAAATAATGGGACCCCTCCCTCCGCGCGCCCCCTCCCTCCGCGCGCCCCCTCCTTTCCTCCGGCCGCTTCCTCCCCCAGTCCTGGGAAGACAAGCGGCTACTGTTCTGGGATCAAGACCCCGGGGGAGGCGACCTCACAGCCCGGTCCCCTTCCCTTCACCCCGGCCGCCTCCTCCGGCATTCCCCTCCCGCCCTCACCCCGGGGGTCCCCGAGATGGCCCGCAAACCCACCCCTCTTGGCGGCATCTCCCGCCCCGCCCACCGAGGGTCGCCTTCCTTCCTGTCGGGGTCCCGGGGCCTGGGCCGGCGCCCCACGCCCACTCTTCACCCCCACTTCCTCCCTGTCCCTGCCCCAGCCCCCACCCAGCCATTCCCGCCCTGCCTGCCTCGGCCCTCCCGCGGGAACTCAGTTTAATAATTAATTAAGATCTCATTCCACAAGGCGCCAGGTGTGTGCGGCCTGCTTGCCGGCACACCACTTCTTTCCTCTTCCCCGCAGCCTCAGGGGCAGCGGCCCCGAGGCGAACCTGCTGGACCCAGAGCCCAGTGGAGGGACCCAGGGAAAGGGCACTCTCCCTGCCCCCTCCCCCGCCCCACTGTCTCTTGGGATCCCCTCCCCGGCACCTGCCGACTTGCAGCCTCGCCCCCAGGCACCTTTTATCCAAAGGGCTGTGCTTCTCTGCTGAGGAGTGGAGGGGCTGCTGGGGTGCATTGCTAAGTGCACGAAATGAGAAATTGGGACTTTTATTTATTTCCAGCACGAAGCAGCTGCCCGAGTTACCTGGGAGATGGGAAAATCGTGTGAAAGCTGCTTAACCCTTTGAGGGTTAGAATAATAATAAAAACAGAAAGGAGAAGGGGCTTCATTCCCAGGATGTACGTAAGTGAGGGTGACTTTAGAGGGGGTGCCATTATGGAGCTGGGAAGAAGGCAGCCTGCCTGGCTTCTTTTTGAGGCCCCCTCTCCATTCCCTGAGTCAGACCTGTAGCTCCTCCTTCCAATTCAGCCCTTCCCCAGGCAGCCTATTCCCCACCCAAGATCCGAAGACCTAGAAGCTGAAGCTGCTTCCTCCTCAGGACCATCCCTCCCTGCATTCTTGTCCTTCAAGGCTCAAGTCTTGTCCACTCCAAATCCCCACTGGGATTCCTAAGTCCAGGACAGAGCTTGAGGCAAGTAAAAGAGAGAGGTTGGGAAAGCCAGTTTCCAACATCTAGCAGGCATGTGTACCTGCAAACTATAAGCCTTGGGTACATCATCACTTACTGTCTTGAAATGAAATGGGAATAAAACCATCTGCCTTGTCTTTCTTACTGGGTTTTCAGAATCGGATAGAGAAATGTTGGTTATAATATTTGGAAATTGGAAAGTGGTACTTTCTCGTTTTCTCAGTTGTGCAGGCCTGGCCTGTAATTTGACCTTTGGGGCCTCTGCCTGACTTCTTCCTTCAAAATTTCCTTAAAAACTGTTTTTGCAGCCGGGCGCAGTGGATCATGCCTGTAATCCCAGCACTTTGGGAGGCCGAGGCGAGCGGATCACGAGGTCAAGAGATCAAGACCATCCTGGCCAACATGGTGAAACACCGTCTCTACTAAAAATACAAAAAGTTAACTGGGCATGGTGACACAAGCCTGTAGTCCCAGCTACTCGGGAGGCTGAGGCAGGAGAATTGCTTGAACCTGGGAGGCAGAGGTTGCAGTGAGCCGAGACTCCTTAAAAAAAAATTGTTTTCGCTATCGAAATTTTCTCTTCAAAATACCTGTTATCTACCACTTACACTTAGAATAATGTGCTCCTGTGCCAAATGGGGAAAATGCAAAAGACAATTGAGATAAAGAAATATGCATTAAAAATGAAATTTTATATTTTGGAATGGAAGGCCTTGTCCTTCGTTTTATTTTAAAATGAGAAAAAAAAATTGGACACCATCCAAATAAGCTGGAGAAATATGCTAGGGCTCCTTCTCTGGGCACTGTAAATCACACTGGTTGTCTCTATCCTAGTGTGTGACTGGTATGTTAGTCTGGCCTCTTGCATTCCATTTTCAGTTCCTAGAGGGCAGGGCCACCGTCAAATCTATTTCTAGCACTATAGAATATCAGGAGTTGTTTTTTGTTTTTGTTTTTTTTTGAGTCAAGGTCTGTTGCCCAGGCTCACTTCGACCTCCACCTTTCCAGCTCAAGTGATTCTCCTCCTCTGGAGCAGCTGGGATTACAGGTGTCCACCACCACGCCTGGTTAATTTTGTTTTTGTTTTTTGAGACAGAGTCTCTCTCTGTCACCAGGTTGAAGTGCAGTGGCGCAATCTCAGCTCACTGCAACCTTTGCCTCCCAGGTTCAAGCGATGCTCCTTCCTCAGCCTCCCAAGTAGCTGACGTACAGTGGCGTGGTCTAAGCTCACTGCAACCTCCACCTCCCTGGTTCAAGTGATTCTCCTGCCTCAGCTTCCTGAGTAGCTGGGATTTCAGGCACACACCATCATGCCCAGCTGATTTTTGTATTTTTAGTAGAGATGGGGTGTCACCATGTTGCCCAGGCTGGTCTCTAACTCCTGAGCTCAAGCAATCTACACCTCATGGCCTCCCAAAGTGCTGGATTACAGGCCTGAGCCACTGTGCCCAGCCAATTGGAAGGTTTTAACCCTGACAAAGAGAAGAAAAGAACACTTTTTATTTATTTTTTTTTTTAATGAGACGGAATCTCATTCTGTCACCAGGCTGGCATGCAGTGGTGTGGTCTTGGCTCACTGCAATCTCTGCCTCCCGGGTTCAAGTGATTCCCCTGCCTCAGCCTCCCAAGTAGCTGGGACTACAGGTTCGTACCACCATGCCCAGCTAATTTTTTGTGTTTTTTTTTTTTTAGTAGAGATGGGGTTTCACCATGTTGGCCAGGCTGGTCTCGAACTCCTGACCTTGTGATCCACCCACCTCAGCCTCCCAAAGTGCTGGGATTGTAGGCGTGAGCCACTGTGCCTGGTGAGAAGAAAAAGAGAGAGAGGCAGTCAGCAGGAAATGTATTTCCCCACGTCTAGCTTGATCTCAATTACTTTTCTTTTTTTTTTTTTAGTACAGACCATAGTCACAAGAGTGATGTATTCTCAACCTCTCATTTTCAGGAAGAGGAAACTCTTACAAGCAGAATGTATTATATGTAAATGCAAGTTTCACACAGCCATAAGTGTATCTGGACAACACTCTATAAATAAGCAGTGTTGAGAACACCCTATAATGTAACTAGCGAATAGGCTTGAGTGCCCTGAGCCTTCCCTGGATTGTTTGGGTTACAGCTAAACCAGCCTCTGCCTACACCCTTTTACAAAGCAAAGATTCCTCTTACAATGTAAATAACCATTCCCTAACTTTTCTGTCTTAAAGATCAAATGGCTGCACATTTTATTTTCTGAAAGAAAGGCATATAAAAACAATTCATGGCTGGGTGCAGTGACTCATGCCTGTAATCCCAACACTTTGGGAGGCTGAGGCAGGCGGATCACCTGTCAGGAGTTTGAGACCAGCCTAGCCAACAAGGTGAAACTCCGCCTCTATTAAAAATGTCAAAGTTAGCCAGGTGTAGTGACACGTAGTCCCAGCTACTCGGGAGGCTGACGCAGGAGAATCGCTTGAACTCAGGAGGCGGAGGTTGCAGGGAGCCAAGATCGTGCCACTGCACTCCAGTCTAGGGGACAAAGTGAGACTATGTCTCAAAAAAAAAAACAACTCACATTCATTCAATCTAGCAAATATGCCTTGTCCATTTCACCACCCCTAACATCACTGCTGCTACCACCACCAGCACTCCAGAGACTCACAACCTCCTCTAGTCCCAGGGTTGGAATAGACTCTGGCCAACTCCATTTCCACCACCACCACGACCCTTGGGAATGGAATGTTTGTCAGCTCCAGGGGCATACAAAATCCCTTCCCCATCCCCTTAGATCCATTATTCATTCATCTCATAAACATTTATTGAGTGCCTACTGTGTGTTAGGCACTCTTCTATTAATAGGTGCTGAGAATACAGTAATTGAGCTCAGCAGACAGGATTCCTAGTCTCATTAAGCTTACCTTCTAATGGGAGGAAACAATAAATAAATGAATATAGGAGGCTGGGCGTGGCAGCTCACACCTGTAATCCCAGCACTTTGGGAGGCTGAAGCACAAGGATCACTTGAGCCCAAGAGTTTGAGACTAGCCTGGGCAACATAGTGAGACCCCATCTCTACAAAAAAATTATTTTAAAAAATTATGATAAAAGATGAGCCAGGTGCAGTGTCCGTGCCTGTAATGCCAGCACTTTGGAAGGCTGAAGCAGGAGGATTGCGTGAGCTCAGGAGTTTGAGACCAGCCTGGTCAACACAGCAAGACCTCATCTTAATTAAAAATTTAAAAAATTAGCCAACTGTGGTGCACCTGTGGTGCACCTGTGGTCCCAGTTTACTCAGGAGGTTGAAGCAGAAGCATCACTTGAGCCCAGGAGGTCGAGGTTGCAGTGAGCCGTGGTTGCGCCACTGCATTCCAGCCTGGGTGACAGACTGAGATATTGTCTCAAAAAAAAAAAAATAGATGAGAAGATGCGAAGATAGTTGATGATAAGTGCTATGATGACAATTAGAAAAGAACTGGTATGGA